CATACTAATTTACTTAAATTTGGAAGGTTTTCTAAACTAGCTAAAATTGGTTTTAAGTAAACTCCCAACATATTTTGAAGTGATGAAGGCTTAATCGATTCTCCAATGGGCATTTTCATCAATTGAGTTTTCAAACTATCCATTTAATTGCTTTCTTCATTACTATTTTAATTCATTTTTTTTAAAAAAAAAGGACCAAAAAGACTCTACTTCTTTTAATTGCAACTTAATTCAATTTTACAATCCCCCCGATTTTATCTTTTTGTACGGTTTTGTCACTTAGATTACATAGGATCAAGTCAAGCTCCTTGAAGTGAACACGACTCAGATCATACCACTATAGTGCGTTCCTATCCAGAATTGAATTGTTTTTGAGAGCCCATAACAACTAAGGCTTCATCAATGTCTTAGATTTCTATGTGTGGCTAGGCGTTTCTCTTCCTCTTGAAGGTGTAGCAATGGCTGAAGTTCAATGAGCTAAAAAAGGGAGTAGTTTAATCCTAGTTCAGTTATGAGTTTATGAATTTCTAGGTTAGGATTTGTAATTTGTAGTTGAGCTACTTGATTATAGTTGCAATTAGTTTTGGATATTCATTTGTGTAGTGGATTGGTTATTGTAGAACTTTTGAGTTTAAATATATGAAGTATCATGCATGTCAGTTGTGATCTTTAAATTCTCTCTACTCATGCACGGTTGTGTTTTGATATTGAGTTGATTTTGATTGCATTTGACCTGTTGCATTACCCACATTTAGTGCCTGACAGTGCCTGGAATATGTTGCCTCCAATAGGAGGATACCTATGCTTTAGCCAAAAAAAAAACTTTTGTAGGCTTTAAAAGTGACACGTACAAATGGCTGATTGCTCGTATTGTTATTATATGTTTCCGATGGGGTATCGAACTGCAATACTTTTATTCTTATTATTAATTTCTTATATGGTATTGAAACGCACAACTCAGCTTGTATTAAGAAATATTTATTACAAGACCATATCTCATAAGTATATAGGTTCAGATTTTATTGTGATATAAGAATTTTATTAGTGAATAATCTATAAATATCTATGTAAGAGGAAGGTACATATAAATTTAATAAATTCTGAGATCTAACTTACCTAAATTTTTATATAACAAAAAAATATAGACTTTTGGATGTTACGAGGGACTATGGAGATGTTATAAGATTTTGGATGGGCACCATTCAACCTAGGCATGTAAGAAAAACCATATACATAATTAAGACGATTCGGCTCATTACATGTTTTATATAAGAGATATAGCGGAAGACCATCTAATGGTTTACGATATGAGAATTAAATAACTGAAATCACAAAGTACAATTAGTGATAAGAGTTGTCAGTAATTCTTTTGATTAGTATTGAGACATGACAATGACAAATAATCAAAACTGTTCTCTGTCAAGGAATCCTCATAAATGAGTAGAGGTAAAAAAAGAAAAAGAATCACTTGCTCTCACTTAGTTAGTAAATTGTAAGATCAATTCCCACCGTCAAAAAAGTAATAAATAAATATTAATTGAGTTAACCCTAAATTGATCAGGCCTAACCTGATTAACAGGCCATATGTTAAGATATTTTAATTAAATAACATTATGATGATGATGAGTAACTCAAATATTAATATTCTCCTACTCAACCTCTTAACATTATGCCAATTACCATGTCATGTTTAACTAAGGCTATATTAAGAATCATGACGATAAGCCCTTTAAGTTAAGTATTACCTTTTTTGTATTACTAGTAATACTCTTACTTAATGGGTTTAGTTTTATGAATAAACATGATGTTTATGTTGCTCATGTCTCAATGTCTATCAATATCAACCTGATGTTTACATTGTAAATTCCTTTGGAAAACCTATTTAATAGCCTTAGACTCATTAGGCAACTCTACAAAACTCACAAACATGATTGCTTGCCATGGAGTTCATCCCACCAACTTTAGCACGGTGCCACAGTTTAGAGTTCATACTCTTTATAGTTTAGGTCAACACTTATGTCGCAGTCAATTTCAACAAAATAATCACTAGATAATGTTGATCTTCTCTCCCTAATTGATCTCTTTAACTCAACTTCTTAAGTTGGTTCAGATAATTTGATGTCATCCATGATATAAGCATTGAATTACTGAAACCACAAAGCACAATTAGTGATAAGAGTTGATAGAAACTTTTCTAACCAGTAATAGGACACAACGATAAAAACTGTATAAAGCTGTCAAGAAAAAAAAACCATAAAAATAACATTATTATAATGATAATAAGTAATTAAAATGTTAATAAGGCAGAGATAGACCTTCTTCAACGTGGATCTGCAAACATTGGATAGAGTTGTTTTTGCATAAAAGAAAAGCGCACTAAAATTTATAATTTAGAAAACTATAAATAAAGGTATAAAATATAAATAATAAATTTGAAAAGTATCTGTAGTAGTTTTTGGAAGTAATTAAAAGTGACAATCTAGATTTCCTCACGCAAAAGGTATAGATCTTTCACCAAATTTTAATTTTAAAATTTCTTAAACGTGATTAATATCTCATAATAGATGCTTAAACGTCATTTTCTCTCATTAATATAATTTCACCCACCTAAGTAAATGGGAAGGCGACCGAAGGGCAAAGGCGGGTTAGTGAACCAAACCTATCAATCTTTTAACCACCAAACGCTTCATTCACCAAGTTGCTCCAAAAAAAAAAAAAGGAAAAGAAGAAAAAGAAAAAGTAAAAAGAATAATAAAAAAAAAAGCAAACTCATTCAACATTGATTTCTACTTTCACCTATTTGAGCTTCTTCAACCACTATTTTTGGGTTGAGTTTATCGTAACGTGATGAACTAAAATTCGAATTTCTATTTAGAGAGATATTTATATTTAGTGCTCGATAATATTTTGTATAGGATTGGCCCCATTCCCATGCCCAGTTAAAAAAAAAAAAAATTCTTCAACTGCTTCCTTCAACTGGTCAACTTTAATTACCATGGTGGAAGAGGAATTTATTATGAATAAAAATGCAAAATAACATGAATACTCACTGTTGGAAGGAGTACGAGTAGTTTGTAAGAAATCTAAATTCACTTTTGACCATTAAAGGCGTACCAAGTTGGCAAGTCCTCAAGTCTGTCGCTCTCAGAGTTAATAAGAGATGGGTACTTTTGTCATTTGACATTGCTTTCACTTTACCCTTTTGTTTTTTTTAACCTTCCCTCCCACTGAACTCAAAAAAACAACGTTTTCCAATGGGATTCATTTTCATAAGGAAAAAAAAAAAAGTAAAAGTTTTTCTACCCACTCAACCATTTCCATTTTCCATGGTGGAAACTTGCAGCAAAGGTTAGATTAAAGTTTAAAGACTATTGCATATTATAATTTTTTTTAATTTAAATGTGATCTCCTTTTTTTAAAATAAATTTTATTATTTAATATTAAATGTTATGCAAGTTTTAAAAATAAATAATACATCAGTTATGTTGGTTCGATTTGTTAGTAGAGGCAGAGACTTTTTTTATTTATTTTAGAATTATAAATAAAATTTGATAAAAATAAATCAAGAGTGCATACAAGCATCATTTGAGATTAATAGTATTGGGATTAAAAGCGTGAAAAAAATGATTATTGAAAGTGACTCGTCCGCTGTTGAAGATTGTAAAGAAAGAGTCGAATCCAACATGTTTATTGGGAGTGTAATCCTACAAGACTTCCTTTTTCTTTTTCTTTTTTAACTAAAACATAGGTACCTTGTTATTATTGAAAGCAATTTTATTTAAGATACTGTCATGCATTAAATATGGATATCTCTCTCAATAGAAATTTAAACATCCGTTTACTACGTTATAAGAAACTAGCTTTTTCCGCTAGACTCTGCTCCAAAAGCTAATTTTACACTTGTCTAGACACAATGTAGGACTGTTTACGTATTGTAAAGTTTTGAGTTAGTAGGATGGGCCTTGATCCCGTATTATTCACCAAAAAAAGAAAGAGTAAAAATTAAAACTTTCTAAAATATATTAAAGTTCAAATTTACTCTGACTACTCAGAAGTCAAAACTGTTGAGTAAAAATTTTCAAAATCTCAGACCCTGTTAAAATTAAGGGATTAAATTGTTGGGAAAATAAAATTAAGGCATTAAACTGAAATCTTATACTCTTCCGGTCTTTAATATAAGATCTATTTAACTAATTTGATTAGATTAAGGAAGTTAAGTAAGTTAGTTAATTATAAGAAAAGTGACATTTTTCCTAAAACATCATAATCATCTTTTTTAATATCCCTCTCTCTCTTCTACTTGATTATGGTTGAGGAAGTATCCATAAGGATAATTTAGAGAAAACTGATAAATATGAGAAATGGGTCTATTATTTAAGACCAAAACTAATTCAAGAATTAGGTCTTATATTAAAGACTGGAGGTAATACTCCTCCGATCCTTAATATAAGAACTCCTTTGATTTTTATTTTGATAATAAATATAAGATCATAATTAGTTTTAGCTAATACATTTGATTAGTAAGAATATTTTATGAAAGACAACACCTATTTATTACAAATAATTAAATTAATTAATTTTTTTAATCTATTCAAATTAATTAACTAGTTCTTATATTAAGTATTGTAGGTAGTATGTAATTTGATGACCCTTGATTATTTTTCCTCAAAAATAAAAGTAAAGATTTAAAAATATTTCGAAGAGTATGATATACAATTTTCCGGGCGACCCACGTCCACCATACTAGACGCTACTATGCTTTCAAGTTTCAGGAAATTGCAAGTAATTTTTATATAACGGTTCTTTACGGTTCTTTTGTCATTTCGATAACCACCGTAAAAGACGACCAGCGACGAGGACGAAAGACAGGAGGTGAGGCCCGGCAGGACCTCTTGAAATTACGCTTCTACCCTTCAATTGGATAAAGTCTGAGGCCCTTGTCTTCATTCAAAATACAAGGACAGCTTCGTGATTTCGGCGTCCATAAAAAGAGAGAGAAAGACAGAGACCAAGAGAGAGACAGAGAGAAGATTAGACACAGGGAGAGAGAGAAGAAGAGAGAGGAAGTGCGAAGAGGATAGTGCCGTTTGATTCCGTTATTTCAGTTACTCCTATATGAATGTGAAGCAGCAACAATGGTGTCGGACCAGGAAATAGCGAAGGAGGTGGAATCTCTGATCCGTAACTCCGACCCGAACTCCTTCACAACTCTAAACGGCGTCGTTCAGCAGCTCGAGGCCAGGCTAGGGTTAGACCTCTCTCACAAGGCCGGTTTTATCAGAGACCAGATCGACCTTCTTCTTCGTCCTTCAAACCCTCAACCTCAAGCATTTCCTCCACCAGCTTCCTCGCAACCAAAAGACGCTTTTGCCCTCCTGCATCAGCCACAATTCCCACCCACCCACCGCCATCACTTTCCTTCCCATTTTACCCTCCATCCTCATCATCAGGCCAATGAGATCAGCTTCCGGCAGCCGCAGCCAACTCCCGCCACCGCACAGCCTCCGCAGATGCATTCCCTGCCGCCGCAAGCGCAGGTGGTTAAAGGCGAGACCTATGTTCAAAATGCCGCTGCATCCGCCAATCAACTACCCAGGGAAAGGTAAGTCTTTTAAGGGATGCATCAAATTAGGGATTAAAGTTCAATCTTGCTGTGATTCAAAATCCAAATGGTAGATGGATTTTGGAAAATTTGTTCCTAGGTCTTGTTTGGCTTCGATTTAGGTCAAATGTTTGTGTCGAGACTGTGAAAATGGAATTTCATCCGTTTCTCGAAATCGCTTATGAACTCCTTTTTCAACAAGTACTGCATTATCTTCTGGAAATTTCTAGTTCTTCTGTTGAAATTTTGTCGCTTCAGTTTCTTATGGTAAAATAGTTATAAATTTGCAGCATTTTTTTTTTTGCCCTTGGAAGTTCCCACTCCTCCCCCTTTTTAGTTTTTCTAATTTTTGGAGTGTTTGACAACTCTCAGAAGTGTTTTTCAGAATTACTTTTCCGCAAAACGAGGCAAACTCTTCCACTAAAAATACTTCTGAAATTATAGTTTAGTTTCTATCCAAACACCCTTTTTGTTTGCTAGCCTGTTGCCGTTTGAGCCATTGCTGTATTCGTATTACTTTATTCACATTCGTTGACCAAACAATGATTTATGTAATAATTTTTTTTCTCAGTGTTCTTTGGCATCTTTATCTAATGTTTAGCGTTTCATGATAATAACATAAGTATTATTAATTATTATTCTTATGCATGCTGTTATCTGACTTTTGCACTCACAAGCCTTAGACAGGAAACAAGTAGCTCTTCAATATGCAGTGAGTCTCACTCAAGGGACTCTGAATATAGGGGGCTGCTACCAAATTCTCCTATAAAAACATGCGTCTGAGAAAAGTTTATGCAAGATTACTATGTTGTACTGAGCTCTAAAAAGATTCTCTTATCATAATTTTATTTGAGAATTTGATAGGAAAGACATGGAAATTGTATATAGAATTTTTTAGCACATATGGCCAGCTGAGTTTGGTTCCTCTATGATTAATGTTTCAGTGCTCCAACCGGAGGTAAAAAAAGAGGTGGTGCTGGTGGTCTGAACAAAGTTTGTGGTGTTTCACCTGAGCTTCAGGCAATAGTAGGGGAACCGGCATTGCCAAGAACTGAGGTTGTGGATATCCAAGCTAACCAATATCATTTGCTCTTTCCTTAGCAAGTCATTATTTCAGTAATTTTTTTTAAAAATAATTTGGAATGTAAAATGCAGATTGTGAAGCAACTGTGGGCTTACATAAGGAAAAACAACCTCCAGGATCCTAGTAACAAACGAAAGATTATTTGTGATGATGCTCTGCGTGTGGTTTTTGAGACAGACTGTACTGACATGTTCAAGATGAATAAGCTGCTGGCTAAACACATTATTCCACTTGCTCCCACAAGTAAGTACCACAGAAATAGAAAAATAATGAATTAATATCTTGCCTGTGATATTCTTTTGTATTGAAATTTTTACTCTTGTTGCTGTAGAGGAGTCACAAGCTAAACGATTGAAGGTGGATGTTGAATCCACAACTGAAAATGCTGATCCTGGTTCAACTACTGTCGTTATATCTGAAGCTCTCGCCAACTTTCTGGGCACTGGGGAGAAGGAGATGAAACAATCTGAGCCCATAAGACTTGTATGGGAGTACATTAAGGTGAATCATTTGGAGGTCAGTATTATGCTCTGTAACATTTGTTTCAAAAATAGTTTCAAACCTGTTTAATATCTTTTCTTTTTAGCAATTTTCCCCCCCTTAATTTTCCTTATTATTTGTAGGATCCTTTAAATTCAATGGTGATACTATGTGATGCAAAGCTTCAGGAGCTGCTTGGATGTGAGAGTATTTCAGCTTTGGGAATGCAAGAGATGTTAGCACGCAATCACTTTTTTAAGCGATCTTGATTCCTGTAAGTGTTGAAAGGGTCATAATAGTTATAAGGTTAATTTTTCTCCCGTTGTTTTTCATTTATATATTGTCTTCTGTTTCTGTTATTCTTACCAAATATTTTAGCACCTTCCTAAGCAGTTCTGTAGCTTAAACTTCTGCCTCTATATGTCTCCCTGCCTCATTCTGCAGCTATATTCTCTCATTCAGAATAAAATGTGAAGTTATTGGAATTATTCAGCAGATGTTTGTTTGTTTGTATGTTAAATTTATGCAAATGCTTCGTAAATTTTGTTGACATGGACAACTAAGTGCTATCTGAGTACTCTATATACACGAGATTTATGCCGACAAAAAGTGTAAAGTTATTTATGAGGTGAAATGAAGGCACATATGGCATTGAGATGCAATTTATGTTTAGGGACTCAGGTGAGGCGAGCATGTGTCATGCCCATCCAAATTTCTAAGTGCCAAGATGATAAGATTGTCCAGAATTTAACAGATTCGAATCTTTTAGAGGTTTAGAGGGATGAACCTAGAGAGAGATAGGAAGAGAGAAACCGGTCCCACCTCTTTTTACCTCTCTTAAAATACTTCAAACGGTCCTCATTCAGATTCAGTGGACTCAGATCTTCTGAAGCACTTTAAATGAATGAAATTAAAGAGAGATGGGAAGAGAAAATTGAGTCCCACCTCTTTGGTGTGATTCCTCGTAAAGCAGGGCTCACTTGTTGAGGCTTTTGTTTTGGTCCTACAGATGAGATTCGACTAACAATCCCTTCTTTATGTTTGTTCTGTTGCAGGGGCATGGAGATATCGATGTCAGATTACTATTGTTAGATCAGATAGCTAGGAACTTTTCTGCTGGTTCATGTAACTTCTGACAGTTCTATCTTCTGTGCATTGACATGGTTGGTTAGAATCAGAATGTGTTGTCTGACAGTACTGGGTTGATTATTTAGAATGATAACATAGCTCTGAGGCTAGGGAAAGGAGTATCTTGTACTTGTTCCATTGGCCTGGTTTAGGTTTTCTGTGTTTTTTAAATTACTACTTAGTTCTCAATGTCTAACCTCTCACCTAACTGAAGGAAACTGAGCTTGAAATGGATGACTTGTATTTTTTGTACATTGAGAAGCTTCTTCTTTGTCCGTCAGATACAATGAAATGTACTTTGCTGCTTAATTATATTAGGAAAAATCTTTTGACTTTTTAGGTGTCGCCCATTTGTCTATCATGGTCACCTATCTCTCTTGTTATTTAAAGTCGCCATGAACTCAGTTTGTTTGTATAATACACAAAAGTCTATTTCTTGATTTGGAAATATATTTAGTAGTTTGAATTAGGAACGTTTATATGGTCCCACATGCTTTGACTGTTGGAGATTTTTATATTGGTCCAGAACTTTAAATTAGCAATGAAAAATGATACTTTAAAGACCCAGCTGTAATTTTTAACTTTTTATTTCTTATTTCTTTTTAAATTAAGGCCAAGGGAATAGCTTAATAGAATTTTCTTTTTTGAACTATAGAAATAAATTATAACTAAATACTTCTTGAAGTTATAACTTGAGTTTCTCAAAACTATAACCTAGAGATATTTTTATTTCTAAAATCTCAGTCATCATTAATTCAAGTTATGAAACGTCAATTTGGTATAAAACTACAAGAAATAAGGAGAATGAAGAGTAGAAAAGAAAGCGAGATAGAGAAGACAATGGCTTTTTCTCATTCACTTTGATTCAAGGTACAAATGTCTCATGTATGCCCTCTATTTATAGGCCTCCAAGCATTGAAGTCCTATACTAAGGTTACAAAGGAATAAAGAACATCATAATAGCATTAATAATGAGAAACTCTTCTCAAGTCATTCATTAAGGAGGTTATGTAGTTTATGACACTTGAAGGTAAGGAATCCTATAAGAATTTAAGGTTAGGGGTTATGGACATCCACTCATGCAATATTCATAATACAATTATAATTCTTCCAAATTGTAAGTCTACGAATCAATCTATTTAGATGGTTTTAATTTATTTATTTGATTATTTATTATTTTTTAATTATTTATCTCAGTAACATTATATGGAGCTAAGGAATCTGGGTTGACGACAGTCACAACACAAAATGAGATGTAAAGCTGAAAATGAAACGAACGAGAGTAATACTCACTTTAAATGTAAAAACAAGTCAAATAATTTGTTTTGAATATAAATATAAGACTTCCAAGGAAAATTTCATCAAGAGCAATTATTAAAAGAGTATTTTAAGAAAATTAACATATATTTATTATAAATAACCATTTTTGCATTTAAAATTGGAGGGAATATTCAATATAAAACATAATTCTTCTTATCCCAAATGTAAGAGTTGGTAGAAAAATTTATTTTAGTCCAAAATGTAAGACTCAATATACCTTTTCTTTAAAATTTATGATTTCTTCTTAAATTATCCTTATTAATTACACATATTAAAAGGATTTTTATTAAAAGAAAAATTTTCAATGCAAGTAATTAAAAATGATAATTTAGAAACATTAATACTTTTTCAGTTCTAAATACAGGACCTATTTTGTAGTGTAATTTATATTATAAAATGGGTCCTATATTTAGGACCGGAGAAGTATATTTTTTTATAAATAATTAATTTAACTAATTTTTTAGTTTCTATAAATTAGTTATCTACTTCCTATATTTATATCATTTATGAAACTTAAACAAAGCAGCTTATTTTAAACAACGGAAGAGCACTAATTTTGTTGTAGGGCTTAAAGGGGGGTTAACCTCGGACACTTTGTAATGTAATGAACATATCTTCTCCAACATCATCATTGAGAGTGTATCACTTTTTGTATAAAAAAACATATCTGGAATGAATAAAAGAAAGTGGAAAATGCAAAAGGGTGTGCTTTCTTTCATGATTTGAGCCAAATAACTTCGAGAAAATCGCAAAAAATACTCTTGAATGTATAAAATAGCAAAATGGGTTATTGAATTAACATAATTGTTTCAGGAGATCGGGTCTTAAATTGAAAATATGAAATAAAGCCTAAAAGGCTAAAATGTCCCTCAGTTATTGAGAAATATTACTGAAGGCAGAGAGAAAAAAATTCATGTGAAGCACTTGGAAAAGGAAAGGTCGACATATTTTGCGGCTTCTGATTGTGGAAATAAGTGAATAATGTTTGTAACCATACTCTTCTTTTATTCTTTCCTCTAAGACTGAGTAATGTGATTTTCTTCTTCATTTTGGTGAGTTACATTGTGGTTTCTTGGGTTATACGTTGGGAAGGAGTGAGAGGTAAAGTTGATGATGGAAGATATTAGTTGGAAGAGGTGGTGGTTAGTTTGAGGGAGGATATTTTTGTTTTTGTAGTCTAATTCCTGACCTCTAATTTACATGGTGTTGGTTGTGATAGACAAGGATTAGGAATGTTAGGAATAGTGGAGTATGGGAGGGAAAATAGAACCTGGAGCAATGAATGATATAGAAATGTGAGTGGCTATGTTTTTGCAATTGAAAGTTGCTAGTTTGCAATGGATTGTTGCTAAGTACCATAGAAATGTTATTATGCTGATAATGTTGTAGTTGAAAGTTGTTAGTTGTTAATGAATTATTGCTAATTTAGTTACTAGGCTTGTAATTTTTATATCTAGCCTTGTTATTTTTTCAACTAAACTTGTAGTTTACATATTCAAACTTGTTATTTTATTTACTATACTTGCAAATCCTATATCCAAACTTGTTCTTCCACTAATCTAACTTGCATTTTTCATATCCAAACTTATTATTTCATTTATTAGACTTGTAATTTTCATATTCACCAATCAAACTGGCAATTTCGATACCCAAGCTTGTTATTTCAATAATCAAACTTGTTATTTGAATATATGCATTCTAACTTATTATTATATTGGCAGCATTAAAAATTTCTTCACAATAAACGAATAAATCTTTGATGACTTTTCATAATGAATATAGAATGCTTCAGTATGTTGATCGATCATCTGATCGATCAAGCGTTTATCGATAAGCTGTTGGATAATTTGTCTGTGCAAACAAGTAATATAACTTATACTTTGATTGTTAAGTTGTTCGATAATGCGTTAATCGATCAATTGATCGATCATTGTTAACTCAGATATCATAGAAGCTCACTATCAATTATCGATCACTTGATCGATAATGAAGAATAATCAAACATGAGACAGATAAAGTGAACCAAATCTGAGATACATTTATCGATCACATGATCGATCGATAAATCAATTATCGATAAAGAGTCAGATGAATGGTAATGCAATTCACTCTTTCTGTACTTTGATTCTGTCATCGTTTATCGATCACATTATCGATTAGCCATTTATCGATAATATTATCGAACATTGTTCCCTAACACTCTCAATGCAGGCACTTATCAAAGCAGCTGATTGATCACCTGATCGATCACCAAATTATCGATCACATGATCGATAATCAGCATCTCTTTTGTTCAAATATGGTTCTTCGATATTCAAATTATCAATAAAATTATCGATCATTACACTTATTTGTATAGGTTATTTTCACATAATGTGATCGATAATCTGTTCCTCTTCCTTGCAGGATTAAGTCTCTGTCTTCTAGTTTATCGATCACTTGATCGAACATTCAATGATCGATCACCTATTCGATTAAGCCACTTAGTCTTTGCTTTTCATTGAATATACTTTCATGTGGTGTTTATCGATAACCTTATCCATTATTCATTTATCGATAATGTGTTTGATCATCAATGACTTAAGCTCCATTTCTATAACACTTGGATTATCGATAACCTGATCGATCAACAAGTATTCAATTAACTGATCGATCAAGGAACATTTTCTGTTTAAACTTCAATTAGCTATGTTGGTTCTTAAATTCAATTATCTATTTCCTTTTAAACTTTACTCAGTATTCTTGATCATCTTAATTATCTTTCTAAGTGATTCAAAATCAAGAGTAAATCTGATCTTCCTCTTCTTTACACATCAGTATAGGTGTCACAGTTGCATCTTATCGATCACCTGATCGATAAAGCATTGATCCATCACTTGATCGATAATCCTCATTTACTGGTTCAAAAGATTTCACTTAGAATAATTGATAACCTGATCGATCAACCAGTAATCAATCAGCACTTCGATCAAACATGTTCAGATTATTAGTCTGCATATTTAACAAACGTTTGATTCCACCAGTAAACTATGAATGATCATATTATCACCTGTCTAGTTTTGCTTTAAAGCTTACTATGCAAAGATTAACTTATTAAGTAAAAGTTTTATCACAGATTACGAAGGAAAATCCCAACGGCTCTTCAACGGTTGTTTATGTAGCTTGCAGCCTACTTTGTCAGAAGCATTAATGGCGGAAACTGTTGCAACTGGGAAAACACGCAACCAGATTCACAACGGCCAGAGGTTCTTCCGTCTAATGGTTACTTAATGATCTCAACTATAAAAGGCATGAAGAAGCATTAATGAACATGAATTGAATATGCGAGCTACAATCTATGATCATTTACTATTGCATTTAATACTCTGTTCTTTCATAATACCGAGCGTCAGTGTTTATCATTTATTCACTCTGTAAGAGAGTTTATCTACCCTTTATTAATCACACCTGTGTGATACTCAAGAGTGTGGACTCTTGAGTGGGTTTGTAACCTTACGGGAAGTAAAGGGGAGTGATTGAGTGTTTCAATTACTGTATTGAGGCGCCAAGAGCCCGATCAATCTTGGAAGATAGTAAAATACTCAGAGGTGTTTTGAAGACTGGACGTAGGTCAAGTGGTTAAGACCGAACCAGTATAAATCCTGTGTCTCCCCTTCTACGATGAAATCTTCCTAATCTCTCACTCTTTGTTTTTGATAGTATTTAGTTTTAATTCCGTAAATTTTTATAACTCACCCAATTCAACCCCCCTCTTGGGTGAGACTGCTACTAACATACTCCAAATCTTCAGGAGAACATGAAAGGCATTTGAAGATCATCTTGAATACCCTGAAGGATAAGCAACTGTATGCCAAGCTCAGTAAGAATGCCAAGCTCAGTAAGTGTGAGTTCTGGCCATGTGATATCTAAGAAAGGTGTATCAGTCGATCCTAGCAAGGTAGGAGCTGTTCTGAGCTGGGAACAACCAAAGTTAGTGTCTAAGATTAGAAGTTTCCTTGGACTGGCAAGGTATTACAGAAGATTTA